TTTTAAAATATTCTTTTTCTTACTCTTGTCTATTTTTTGAACATTTACATCTCCTTCCATGGCGATTTTGATGTATCTTCTTTCTCTTTTTATTTTTTTGTTTGGTTGTTCTTATCACATGATAGAGAACATGATTTGGAAGTGTTGATATAAACATACTACCTCTGTTCCTATTAAAACTTCCAAATAAGTTTGGCACAGAGTTTAAGATAGTGGGTATTGTGTGGTGGAGAATTGTGCAGAGGAGAGAGAAATGTGTAAGAAATGTTGTGAACCACGAATTTTTTACTAAAAAGGGAAAGTGGAAGTTTTAATTGGAACGGATGAAAAAGGGAAGTTGGAAGTTTTATTTAGGAACGGAGGGAGTATCATAGAAAATGATTAGACCTAAAACTTTCGAACTCAGTGGTGATTCGAAGAAGCTTTTTGCCATGGAGTCTAATACTTGTTAGATCTAACAAAAACTATTTTGATTTTACAGAGATGCAAAAAGTTTGTACTTCGTAAGAAAATGAGACAGAAGAAAATGAAAAAGAAATAGATAGAGAAAAAAGAACAAAAAGATGAGAAAAATGAAAAAGAAAAACAATGAATATGGGACAACCAAAAATGCTTCCTAGAACCTTTCAAAAAAAATACTTCCTAGAAGAAAGATCTTGATAAGGATGAAGAACAGTAGTAAAAAAATGAAGAAAATGAATGAGTTGAACTAGAAAAGTAAAAGAGAAAAGGGGAAAAGAAAAAATAATTGTATATACTCCGTAGTCCGTATTAGGGATAGGGCGGGTCGGTCCGGCCCTGAACCGGCCCGGCCCGCCACTGTGCGGGCCCGGCCCAGCCCGGTAAGGATAGGGCGGTGCAGGCTTTGACCCGGCCCAGGGGAGGCTAGCGGTTCGGGCATGGTTCACAAAAATGAAGGCGCGGCCCGGCCGATTCGGGCCCGGTTCGGGCCAACGACTATTTTTTTTTTTAAAAAAAACTTTTGGCTATCCAAACAGGCCTTAGAGCCGTTGTGATTGAACCCAAACGGCTATATAGCCGTTGGGAGCCTTCCTGGGTTCCAGGGGTGGGTTAGGGGGGTGGGTGGGAGGTACAAAAAAACTATAAATACTCCATTTTTTCAATACAATTTACTACACATCTTCTCCAAATATTCCTACTCTCTAATCTCTATTCTCTACTAATCTTCTTCATCTTCATCTTCTCAAATTTATAACTACATGTATTATATTATATTTACATATATAATCATCTCTAATTTATTTACTTATATTTACATTTTAGATATACTTAATATATACTTATATATATTAAAGTATTATATATAAGTGTATTACTAATCTTATAGTAATATACTTATATTATATATACTATAAACATAATATTATATATTACTAGTTAATCTACTTATTATCTACTTTTATATATATATATATATATATATATATATATATATATATATATATATATATATATATATTAAGTATATCTACTTATACACTTATTATCTAATTGTTACATTTATTAATTTCCTATCATAGTAGTTAGTTGTTACATTTATTAATCTCTATAAAAACTAGTTAATTGTTAAACTTGTTAAATAAAGTTGTTAGATTGTAAAACAAATAGTTCGAATTTTGTTAATTCGAAAATAATTATTTAATTGTTAAATTAGTTAGTTTGTTACATTTATTAATCTCTTATCATAATAGTTCATTGTTACATTTATTAATCTCCTATAAAAACTAGTTAATTCGAAATTAATTGTTTAATTCTTAAACTAGTTAATTGTTGCATTTATTAATCTCCTATATAAACTAGTTAATTGTTAGTTTGTTACATTTATTAATCTCTTATCATAGTAGTTAATTGTTACATTTATTAATCTCCTATAAAAACTAGTTAATTGTTAGTTTGTTACATTTATTAATCTCTTATCATAGTAGTTAATTGTTACATTTATTAATCTCCTATAAAAACTAGTTAATTGGTAAACTAGTTAATTCAAAATTAATTGCTTAATTGTTATTTGAATTTAATATTTGTTATATTTTTAATATGGAGCGTGGTAGAGCTTCTGTAGATATGGGTAACCTCCGCCGCAACCGAACAAAGGAGATTGCGAGGAATGTTCCAAGGTCACGCAAAGGTAAGGGAGGGCCGGGGTCTTCATCTCAAACCCGAGATGATTTTGATGCGGATTACAACCAAAGATATGGGGATGCGATGTCCGATGAGCAACTAGAACAACTTTTGCAACAAAATCAAGGACGTTTTTTTCATCAACAAGACATCCCGCAAACCATTGACGAAGAAGAGCTTGAGGATGATGATGTGGAGGAGAGGGATCCACAAACGGTCGAGGACGAGGATCATGGCACACCGGATGATGAGGAAGAGGAAGCGGAAGTGGCTACTTCTTCCCAAGACGGTGGGAAATCTGAATCTGTCTTTAAGGCAAATTTTACAAAAGTTAAAGACCTCGAAACCGAGATATGGTACGCCACTTGCAAGCATTGCAACAAAAAGTATAACTTGGGAATTTCTGGAGGGTATGGGAGCGCCACAAGACATCTTAAGGCCAAGCACCCTGCGGAATATGTGAAATCGGACAAAGGCAAGGGAAGGCAAACCCAAATTTCAAGGTTTGCAACTGGCCAACCCTTTGGTAATTTCTCCTATGATGATCAAAGACATTTGACTGGTATGTCTCATTTAATTGTTGAAGAAAATTTGCCTTTTATTTTTTCTGAAAGTCTTGCTTTAAAAGAATATGCTCAAGGTTCTTTAAATCCCCAATTTCGAAACTATAGTCGCAAAACAATTAAAAAAGAAGTTATAAGGCAATATGTTTTGGAAAAGCAAAAATTACAAACGTTTTTTGCAAACTTTGATGGACGTGTTAGTATATGTAGTGATATATGGGAGGATACTCATCATCATTTATATTATTTGGGTTTGACTGCACATTATATTGATGATGATTGGTGTATGCATAAACGTGTTCTTGCTTTTCGTGAATTTAATGATAGACACACCGGTGATAATACTTATATTCTCATTGAGCGTATTTTAATTTAATTGAGTATAATTTGATTAATAAGGTGTTTGCAATTCGTTTTGATAATGCTACTAATAATACTGCTGCTATTCCTAGATTGCGTGAATTGTGTGGTTCATCTTCTTTGATGGGTGAGTTTTTTCATCAGCGTTGTGCATGTCATATTTTAAATTTATGTGTAAAGGACGGCCTAACGACGTTGGGAGATGCTATGGAGGTGGTGAAGGGGGGAATTAAACTTATTTGGGCTAGTTCTCAACTTAAGATGCAATGGAGAAATTTTTTGAAAGAAAGACGTGTCAAATATTGTGCTTTTCCTAAAGATTTGTCTATTCGTTGGAATAGTACTTATAACTTAATTAAGGTGCTTATTAGATTTAAAATTCATTTTCCTGCTTTTTAAAAAGAATATGCTAAGTATATTATAAACCCGGCCGACATCAACACTTGTGAAAAAGTTTTGAATGTTTTGGTGTATTTTAATAATGCAACTCTAACTTTTAGTCATTTTATAAACCTACCGTAAACCAATTTTTTGTTGAAGTTGTTAATCTCGCCGGTGCTTTTTGTGAATTTGCTGATGCCGCTTACGTTAGTTATTTTTGTGACTTCATGAAACAAAAGTTTTTAAAATATTATTCCTATATTCCGCATATATATAGTATTGCATTTATTCTTGATCCTCATTTTAGACTTGTTGCTTTGGAGCAATGTTTAGATTACTATTATGCTTCTTTTTTTGGGCCATTGCCTATGTACGACGACAAGGCTATAGACCCGAAACAACAATTTCAAGAGGTTAGTAATTTATTATATCAATTATTTAATGAGTTTCATGCACAATACGGTAACGCACCCCCTCCCTCGCCACGAACATCTTCTTCATCTAAAGGAAAATAAATTTTGAAATCTGCATTTGGCAATCTTATGAAAACAAGTAAATCGACTCCGGTTAATGAACAAAGCTCGATCAACGAGCTTTCTTTGTATCTAACATTTCCTGTTGAGTATTGAATATGAAGAAGGGGATGACTTTGACGTTCTACAGTGGTGGAATGAAAAGGAGAGAACATTCACGATCTTATCTAAGATGGCTAAGCAAGTGCTAGCAATGCCCGTATCAACAGTTGCTATGGAACAAGAGTTTAGTGCGGCCAGCAACATCCTAACGGATTATAGGACGAGATTGAGCACAAACTCTCTTGAGACGCTTGTTTGCTTCCACGATTGGTTGAAGGCCAAACGTAGAAGGTAGAACTCAAGAAGTTAGCATTGAACCCACCCGACACTTTATGGAAGAAACAACTGAAGATGACTGAAATTCTGATTGATTCTTATTTATTAAAAAGTGTATTTCATGTTGTAATTTTTGCTCAATTTCCAATTGTACTACATATTTCAAATTAATACAGTTTAAATTTTTATGTCCAACTAATCTGAATTAAAAATAATAATAATAATAAATAGCCCTGGCCCAGCCCAGCCCGAACCGGCCCACAACCCGGCCAGGTAGGCCCAACCCGGACCGGACCCGGTATCACCCCGAGGCCCGGGCCAGTTCCGGACCCATGATTCAACAAAAAAAGCCCGCCCGGGCCCGACCCGGAACCGGACCGGCCCGGGTCCATCCCTAGTCCGTATATGACTAAAATTTTTACCATAAAACAACTCTGGAACAGGACTACAGGAGTAGTTATGTTTAAAAAAATGTTTACACAATATATGAAAATATTCTTGATGCAGCATACGCCAATGTTTTCTCCTACGCTATTGCCCTAGGAGTCATTTTTTGTTTTGTGAATTTATTTCAATTTGTCACGTTTTAGACTAGCTGACTAGATAATACTTGATGTTTAATAAGCTGAAAAATAAGCATCATCGCTCCTCCCCTCCGAAACCCCCAAACTAAACATTCCTAAGATTATTAATGGACCGTTCCATAAGGGCGATTGGGTGAACCCATTGAACAATTTGAAATGAGGATTAGGCAAAATCTACAGGTTCAGCTAAAAAAGTCAAAAGACTCTTATTGAAACCAAACGGGGCACCAGCCTGTCTAGATTGTGGGCGAGATTGGGCATATGCAATTTCATACATCCAACATTGAAATATAACTAAAGTGCATTAAAACCAAGTTTTACGGAAGCGCCGCCAATCAACGAACTAATGAATGTCATCGCATAAAACAAACAAACTAATGAATGAAGATTGGTTGTCTGAAATGGAAAAGGTGGCGAATCAAGCAGCATCAGAAGTAGCCTCCTTGATAAAAATAGTATCAAAGATCTCTATCCAATACCCATCAGGATCTTTGATGAATGCTATACTCTTCATTTTCCCTGCAAGGAGTGTCTTTTAGATATAAGAAAACAACAAGGTAAACAATGAAAATGTTTATGTTTTCTTCACATACTCTTTTAGCACTTTACTGGAGTTTTCTTTGATACAAAAAATCGAGATTAAAAGTGAGCTAGGTTGAAATGTTGAATGCATCAGTATTCAAATAGTAACTCCTAATATAATGAAATATGAATAGAGATTAAAGATATTGATATGAATGATCTTATTGATGATATGAACAACCATACAGAGTATTTATAGTCAGTTTAGTCACAACAAACTAAACAAACCTAACCGAAGCTATAATTAACTACTACACAACAACAACAACAATAACATCCAAGCCTTAATCCCAAAAGAATTTGGGGTCGGCTAACATGATTCGATCTATGATATCGATGCCAAAAAGAGAAGACGGACAAGAAAAGGAAAAAAAAGTAAGATAAAATGAATAAAATAAAGATAAATAAATACTTCGTATAAGATAACAATAACACAAGAATATAAGAAAGATAAAAGATAAAAAATAAAAGAGCATAAAAAAGCTAGAAGATAAAAATAACATAAGAATATAAAAAGATAAGGAAGATAAAGGATAAAAGAAAAAAGAGAGGAAAGGTAGACAAGACATCAATCGTCCACACGGATGAGCACATAAACGTCCACTTTGCTCTCATCCAACCCAAGAAGACGCATATCAGTTCTGATTCCTCTAATCCAAGTCTGTTTGGATCTTCCCCTCCCTCTCTTCTCTGACTTTTCTCCCCACCCCTCAAGTCGTCTAACAGGTGCGTCACTCGGTCTTCTACACACATGCCCAAACCACCGCAAACAAGACTCCTGCATCTTATCTTCTATAGGTGATAAGATGCAGGAGTCTTCTACAGGAAGCTATAATTAACTACTAGTATATTAAATTTGATGTGAAATGTAGATCACACTAAGTTTGGTTCTTAGGTCAAGAAAGCTGGAGCCAAAAAGAGGTTGCATGTTGATGAAGAGCAGGAATGTGGTAGACTTTAAGCTGCTTCAAAAGAACCTTTACATGAACAAAGAAGAGATCAAGTTCCATATATTTGATTCGAGAATGAAAAATAAGATTATGAGCAAGTTGAACAGTGCTGAGATTGTTGCAACACACTTTAGGAATAGTAAATGGAACTTGAAGTTCTTTTAGCAGAAATTGAATCCATAAAAGTTCTGTTGTGGTATCTGCAAGGCTCCTTATTCAGCTTCTGCTGAAGATCTTGCAAATCGAAATTGTTTTCTTGACCACTATGAAACAATATTAGAACCAAGAAAGATACATGAGCCAGATGTAGACTTTCTATCAGTAGTATCATATATCCAGTCAGCATCACAATAAGTTGGGATAGGAAGAGGCATAGTTGACAAAGAGAGAGGTTTGATGATGAGCCTATGTGTAATGGTGCCAGAAAGATATATGAGAATATGCTTAACTGCCTGCCAATGTTCTTGTAATGGTAGTAGTAGTATCAAAGATAGTTAACGGCATAACATATCTTAGGTCTGATTAGAGTGACATACTGCAAGACTACAACTATATATATATGTAATAGAAAGGATTAGGAAGATAGTTACTGCCTTCATGGGTAAGTTTACAAGTATTGACCATGGGTGTTTTGACTCCCTTAGATTCCAGCATACCAGCTTGACTAAGTATATCTCTTATATACTTAGCTTGGGAGAAATGGGAGAGGTGTAAGCTGCCGTCAGATAGTTTGTATGCATCTATGCCCAATAAGCTGATGTATGGTAGTAGAGTTATTTGCAATAACTAATATATCATCAATATATATCAATATATATAATTGAACTCCAGAGGACAGAAAAATAAGCAAAGAGGGGTTTAAAACCAGCACTGTATAGAAATGAAGTGAGCTTAAGAAACCAAGCTCTAGGAGCTTGTTTGAGGCCATATAGGGACTTGTGGAGTTTACAGGCCAAAGAAGTATCTTCCACTTTAAAACCTGGGGGCTGCACCATATACAACTTCTTCATCAAGCTCTCCGTTTAAGAAAGCATTATTGGCATCAAGCTGCTGAATTGACCATTTATTTGAAACATTAAGTGTAAGGAGGATTCTAATAGTGACCGGTTTAACAACTGGAGAAAATGTTTCTCCAAAGTCAAAACCAAATCTTTGATGAAATCCCTTTCGACCAATCTGGCCTTATACTTGTTTAAAGAGCCATATAAGTTCTCTTTAACCCTATAAATCAATTTGCAGTCAATGGCTTGTTTATCTGAAGGCAGAGACACAAGAGACCAAGTACTCTTTAACTGATTTGGGCTCAGTATGAGCTAACGGTAAGGTAGAATTAAGTCTTGGTTTTACTATTCCTGATTTGGCTCGTGTTCTCATAGGATGAGTGTTAGCCAAGGGAACTAAAAAACTGGAGAGGTAAATGAAGAAAATTGTTCAATATGAGTGGTTAAAATACCAAGAGAGGGAGGTAATGGAACTGATGATTCATGAGAAGCAGATTGAGATTGCTCATTAGAAGCAGATTGAGATTGTTCAATAGAAGGTGAAGAGGAAGATTCAATACCAGGAGAGAAAGAAAAGTTAGTGAAATTTGGTAAATGGGATGGATAAACCACAGATATAGGAGCAAAAAAGGAGGTGGGAACAGTAGGTGACATAGAGGTTGTAGAAGAAAATAAAGTAGGGTAAGAAAATTTGAATTCATGGAAGATAACATCTCGAGAGAGATAATTTTTTCCAGAAGGAGAGAGGCATTTATAGCCTTTGTGGCTGGAGGAATAGCCTACATACTTGTTACGGCGGCTAGGCGAGGCATGGCGTCAGCCGACCGCCATATCGCCTAGGCTTCTTGGCGCCTGCCTAGGCGACATGTCATTTCAAATGTAATATTTAAATACACATACATAATAAAATAATTTACAATATACGTAGTATTACATACTCTGTTAAATTACAAACTGTATATGAAACAGCATACTTCGTATAATATATAATTTATATTGAATAAAATAATGTATTACAAATTAAATTGAAATATGTGTGTGTGTGTGTGTGTAAAACAAGTAAAACAACAACAACAACAACCAAGCCTTAATCCCAAAAGAATTTGGGGCAAAAGAATTTGGGGTTGTTGTATATTATTATATTATATACGGAGTAAAATAGATGTTCAATACGGAGTACAATTTTTCACAAAGAAAATCAACATAAAATATATATTGGTCCAGCTGTCCAAAGATGGATAGACTTGGTAAAGGGTTTCCAGCTGTCTCCAGTTATACTCGTGAAAGGAAAAAAAGCAATAGAGTAGCAGAACAGTAAAAAAACATAGCACAACTGTGAGCGGTCTCCAGTTTGAATAGTCCGCAAGTCTAAAAAAACTGGAACGAGCGAGACTAATGCAAGCGGGGGGAGGCAGAGGCGGAGTAACAGCGATAATATCCGACATCCACCTGGGGCGTCAACCTGCGTCAGCGACCTGGCCGACGGGATGAACAACTAAGGGCCTAGATCTCTCGCTGACGACAGGTCAGATAAAAAAAACAAGATCTGGGCGTCGCCTTGACGACTTGCAGACGCCTAATCAACGCCAAATTACACCTTGGCAGCTTCCGGCGAGTCGAGTGCGCACGGCGCCACTCCTCCACCGCCAGGATGACTAATGGACGCGTAGTCGATGCCGTAACAACTATGATAGCCTATAAAGACACATTCTTCAGAATGAAAATCCATTTTATGCTTGTTATATGCGCGAATGAATGGGTAACAAGAGCAACCAAAAACTTTAAGGAAGAAGTAATCTGGAGCAGAACCATATAGCTTGAAATACAGACTAGAATTGAATTAGTCTTATCAGTCCCGAAGTCTAGTTGCCCTGAAACTAATCCCTATTGCCTTTTTGTCATGAATTCGTTAGAACCAATTAATTTAATTCTCTTTCACTGCAATTTATTTCAAAAATTAATCTCGCACAATTCGCATTTAATTTATTTAATTTGATTGCTGAAATTAACTAACACATAATTCTCCTTTTCTGTTCCTTTGGAGACAATACTATTGACATATATTTAAGTGTGAGAGAGCACACATTAGTGGCCATCCACATTAAATTTTTAACTTCATTGTTAGTGCAAAATGGTATTTGGCTTGGGAATGTGATGGAATAAGGCAAAATGACTCACTAAACTGTCTGTCATGCAATTTTTTAAACGATTTTCATCATGGGTCATCCGGAAACAGACTCTTTGTGCTTTAGCACAGGGGTACGACTGCGTACATCTGACCCCCCTTATCCCATCGTAGATGGGATCCTTTACGACATTGGGGTAACATTGTTGTTGTTGTTAGTGCAAAACAGTCATCTAAACCGGCCCAAACAAATTATGGAGGCAAGATTACCATCAGTGGGTCTCTTTACAAATTCCACACCCAGTTTTTCAAATCTCTCACAAGCCTTGTATACGTCATTAACAGTAATACCTATGTGTCCTGGAAGCAGAGAAAAAAATAATCCAAATGTTGATCACATCAGGTGACAAATTAATTGGTAGTCCACATGAAATATTCAAAATATAAAGGTAAAAAAAAAAGTTAAACAAGAACAGACACACACACATATAAGCTTGTGTGTGTTACGTACTTGTCTTTTTAAGAGTAAAATAAGACACATACATGCCGAAAAAATACGCAAAACATATACTTAAAACTTAAGATATAAGATATATGAAATGTCAATTCCTTACCAAATCCACGAGGCTCTGTATTTCCATTGTGGTAACCCTTGAAATTTGGATCGCTCTCAGTACCCCAATTACTACAAGGAAAATTTGCCTGTTGGCAGATGCAAACTTGTGATAACAATGTTGGGTGACTGGGTGTGTTTGGTTGAAGGAGGGAACCATCTCATTTCACCATGTTTGTTTGAAATATTAGTTATGGAGAAGACCATAATAGACATAGACAACAAGGTGGATCTGGGACGGTTGTGTACTAATGTCTAAACATGTTCACCCCATTACGCAACGGGTTATTTTATTCAAATCATAGCCTCCACGACAAGTAAAAGGTATGACTAGGTAATGATTGTTTCAATGGATAAAATTTATGATCATTAGAGATTAAATAATTGACTTTCGAAATCATATAAAAATAGAGATTTATATATGCAGGTATTTTTTTATATATGCAGGTATATGTGTGTCTTTGTGTGCAATTACTCATGTACTGAGTTCAAATCCATCCACACACACATATATGTGTGTGCGCATATAGATAAATTATACTACCTGCGTCCCTCTAACATTGAGACAAAAGGAAGTGGTGCAGTTATTAAGAGAAATGAAATTGTGAGCTTGGTGTTAAATTGATAAAGTATAAATAAGGTAAGAATGAATTGTAATCACCCAAATTTTACCAAACATGGTAAATTCTATACGAACTAAGTGGGACGGACGAAAAAGGTAAAATAGGACAAAGATAGGGGGGGCAGAAAGAGTAATAATTTACTAATTTATAATATTAATAAAATGAGTTGAAATGTTAATGGTGCAGATAACAGTATCGGTATCCAAAATAATTGGAGCGGTAGTCAGGGAGAAAAATGAGGCATGGGGCTTTATATGTACAAAATTGTAACCGCACCGTTAATTGTAACCCTACACACATATTTATATATATCATTGAAAATCATTTATTAATTTATATTATTATTCAAATGGATTGGATGGTAAATGGTGTGGGTAATGGACTAACAGTATCGGTAGCCAAAAACATATACTCATACTGGGGCAGATGGGTATTGACTCAATACTATTGAGGCAGTTATATATAGAACCGCACTCTCCCTCGTTAGTTAGCCGTAAAAACATAATAGTTGTTCCCTGTCTTGTGCTTGTTACCCAGATTTTCTTCGTTTGACCGAAGTGGTTCAATACGGTTGTCCAACGAAGTGATGAACAGGATATAACTTCCATCTTTAGGACAAAATTTCATCCTTCCTCTACTCCCTTCCCCTTACTTTTGTGACACCAAAATTGTAGGGGAGCTCCCCTCCACTCCCTCCCTTTGAACCAAATACACCCTTAAAGAAAAGTGATGCTTACTGTGTAAGCTCTAGAGTAGCTTTTTGACCAAAAGTCCAAGCAACACGATCAGCTGGATCCGTGGGAGCTGATGATGTGTCCTAAACCATTAATTGCAGAAAATCAATGTAAGCTCGTACTCACGACACCTCAAATTGGTTGCACAAAATTGGTTATGTTCTTTACCTCATATCCCATGAAATATAGGCTAAATTTCATCTCTGGAAAATCCAATCTCTTCAACAATCTATAATCACAAAAATCAAATAGAATAAAGTTATTGAATTGAATTGAACAGTATGAGCATGTAAGAGTCCCCATTAGGCTGAACATAATCCTATATACACGGGACAGCAGGAAGTCAAAGCCTCAAAGGGAAAGGCAATAAGAGGACTTACGACATGCCCAATACTTTGGAGTAGAACTCAAGACTGACTTTCGGGTCCTTAATCCTGAACATCTGATATCATTCAAATTACAGAAATATGTCAACATTATGTGATTTTATGATCCGTTAGTCCAGCAGGTGAAGGAAAACAACAAACAAAAAAGGCTGGAGCAAAAAATGAAAAAGAGTATATATTATTGGTATGGGCATTACAATATTGATGCCTTCTATATCTACAGTTCCTGGTGTACTGGGAAAATGTCATCACCATCATTACCCCAGTGCCGCAAAGGCTCCCAACTATGGTGGGGTAAGGGGGGTCGGATGTGTTAGGGTTAGATCTCACACAAGCACGAATCTGAAAGACTAGAAAAAGAACGAGAAGAACGGCACACGAATATAACGTGGTTCAGCCAGTAAGTGTTACTGACCTAATCCACGGAGGCAACTGGGGTTTTCTTTCTTATTGAGATGATGAATGATACAAGTCATAGTTTACAAGTACAGGAGTCAATATATATAGGCAAACAATTAGGGTAAAACTCTTAATAAGGTTCTGGGCCTGACTGCCACTAAAGAAACAGGCCCAACTAAGGGCTGCCTGCACATTTAACTAGAGCAGGCTCTGCTCTTGTTTACTTAGCTCCCAGATCTGAATGGGCCGAAGCCTACAGCCCAACAGGATGTATGCAGCCTTACCCCTGTACTAAAGCAGGGAGAGACTGTTTCCATATGACCCAAGGTGGCAAGGTGAAAATCGCGTCGAGAATTGCATAGACTGACTACAGCTTCACAAAAAAGAAACGCAAACATTTTAGTGAGTCATTTTGCTTTATTCCATCATATTCCCAAGCCAAAGAATAGTGAATCTTTGTCTCCATTGCAAATGATGGAAACGTGTACTGCTAAAATGTAATGTAATAAATTCTTAAGACTTGTCAGATTTTAGCAACAATTTAGGAACACACTAACTATTACTCCCTCCATCCCACTAGGATTGTCTTAACTTTCCTTTTTGGTCCGTCACACTAAGATTGACCAATACCAAATTTGATGATGTTTATATGGTTCTAAATCATTGTTACTTTATTCTCACTTTATCAATTCAATATCAACCACATAAACTCACTTTTCTTGATAACTGCACCAGCCCCTATTGTAACAAAGATAGGGGGACGAAGGCAGTATTTTGTAGCAGAATAAGAGAATAAATCAATAAAGATAGTTAATAACATATTGACCCTGTTCGGTGAGGAAAATTGGGTGGAAACTTGTGCGAAAATATGCCCAGATTCAACGGTCGAATAATCTAAGAATAATGGAAAGAATTTAAACAATAGAAGAGAAATTCAACATCAACTTATACCGTGTATTAAGAACGATGAATCCATGAAGAACGATTACACAGTACTCGAACAACCTAGAGAGATAATTTCTATTCTACGTGCTCTACCAGAATAATATGCGGAAACAGAATGTGTAGAGACTTCCTATTCTAGCGTGAGAGCTTCGAGAATGATATGGCTATTCTAATTGTGAAACCCTCAGGTTGTTCGGTCCATTCCCCTTCTATTTATAGAGGGATGGCCGAACATCCTAGTTAAAGTAGGATGAGCCTAATTATTCTAATTAAGTAGACCCTAATTAAATACAAAGTCCCACTAACTGAATCCTATTTAAACAAAGATAAATCTAATTAAATTGAACACAATAAAATATATCCTAACAATCTCCCCCTTTGTGTTCAATTTGCAATGAAACGCGGGTTATCTTTGTCTTGATCTTCAGAGGATATCAGCTTCTTTTGTCTTCTTAGAAAGGCTTCGTGAAGAACTCCTTGCAATCTCCCCTTTGAAGAATCTTCTTGATGTTGGGGTTGAAGAATCTTTAAGATCTTGCATGTAGCTTTTGTCTTTAAGAAGTTGCTCTTGATCAGCTTGAATGAATTCCCACGATGCCTCTAGAATGAATGTTCTTTAAGTGTTCCAGACGCACACGAGATTCTTCTTAAGTACATGAGTATTTGACCTTTGTCTCCTCCAGAATGTAGTCTTTGGACTATTTGATGTCAATGCTTTTGTGGAGAACTTGTCGGTGGCTCAACAGAAAATGATGATTGAGTTATTAGTATATGCTGACCATTTGATTAGAAGTTAAGAGGGCAGATGTGGGCAAGCAGATGAATGTGTTGGAAGAGAGAGGTGTCCGAGAATGATCTTTGAAATTTTACAAACACTTGGACCGCTCTCCTCCTCATGACGATCCGATGAGTCGGGACGTCATGCCTTTGTTCATCCTTTGATAATGCAAAACAAAACTAAAATCCGGATACATTAAGGTGTTCCGTTATCACAACATCAATGTAAACACTGATGTGTGGCCTGTATAAAATGATATAAGCAAAAGCTCTAACAAGACTTCTGACCGATCATTATGGAGCATGTATAGTAGATGTCACTATGGTTGTTACGGCATGATCACAATGATATGCAAAGAGAAATTGTAGCCCCCCGGGGTCCCGTAGACGCCCGTTATCATTACTATAGAGATGAACTCTAAAGCAATGACCTGAAAATGTTGGTAATTTCTATGTTGCAACATCAGAACTTCCATCCAATCATCGGTCTACATCCATAATAGACGAGTCCTATGGAAGTTCTCGCAAGTCTTGAAGACTAGCAACTAACTCTAAAATGTGTCTGTATCCTAGAAAATTAAAAACATTTGGGAGTGTGATAACTAGACACGACGTGGTCAATGAAAGTCCAGTGGCGTGGGGCTGTGGGCCACTGTAGTCAGTATCAATCGCCTCAGAAGGAGACAGTGATAAAAGATGAGGTTCCTCGTGAAATTCTGATGAAATGCTTGTCTTTTGGGAAACAGATGAGTGGTCTAGGGTAGGGTTATGCATGCGCTGTTGGGCAAGATGCAGCGACTTCTACCCGGGATCTGAATAAATTTAGTCCTGTACCTATGGGGAATTGTCTAGAGTATTTGAATGACTAGGATTGATTCTTCAGTTGATCGCTCAGTTGAGGTAGCAGAATTGTCTTTGAATATTGTTTTCTCGCTCAGTTGAGCCTTTTGTTTCCTCACTCTCATAAAGTTCTCTCGCTCACTCACTCGGTTTTGTCTCTTGGGTAGGCTCAATTGTGTGAAAATATGCTTAGATTCAACAGTCGAATAATCTACGAATAATGGAAAGAATTTAAACAGTAGAAGAGAAATTCAACATCAACTCATACCGTGTATTAAGAATGATGAATCCATGAAGAACGATTACACAGAACTCGAACAACCTAGAGAGAGAATTTCTATTCTACGTGCTCTACCAGAATAATATGCGGAAACAGAATGTGTAAATAATTCCTATTCTAGCGTGAGAGCTTTGAGAATGATATGGCTATTCTAATTGTTCGATCCATTCCCCTTCTATTTATAAAATGTATTTGTTTTAATAAACTAAATAAAATAGTATTTTCTCCGTCCCATATTTTCATCCAAATTTCTTTACAGGGATGCCCCAAAATGATCTTATAATTTCAAAGATTTAAGCGGCTGATATTGTTTCTATCTTTTCTACATAAACACAACCATCCAATTTTACTTTTTCAAATATAATAAGAATTTTTGGCTGAGGGTATAAAAAATAATGCCAAATGTAATTTCACTTCATTTCAACCATTTTATGCAAACTGTGTGATGCTTTTCAAGCGTACACAATTCAGGTAATGCAATCAACTACAGTAGCGCTTTGATAAAATAATAAAGCATGTTAAACAGAAGTAATACACAAAAATTTACTGGTTTGATGACAATGTACATAAGCCAAATAATTGGACTGGGCTTACAGTTTGCTGCAAGAGGTAACCTTTGGTGGCATCATCAGGGGTAGCCTGAAGGCCCGGATTATTGGAAGGAGATTCTTTCGACCCGGAATCCATCGAAGAATATGCGAACGTGCGGTTAATCTGAACCTGCAAATTTAAACACAAAATTGGTCATGTTAACTTGCAAGAAGAAATGATTGAAGAAAAAAAAGAATGGGTTCAAGGAGTAGGGACCTTGGGTTTGTGGGCAAACAAACCAGGGATTCGAGATTGGGATAGTGGAGATAGATAGGGGGCTCTATGGTGATGAGTGATTGAACGAAGGAGAAAGATGGTTCTGGAGACTGAAGTAGCCATATTTGGGCTTCAGAAATGGAAGCTCTCACCCGGTGGATCCGGATGATCTGCTTACCGAAATGTGCAATTAAGCTCAAAACTATTGGGCTTTAGATATCTATTCAATGCTTCTGGCCCCGTCTACATAAAATTTATTCAATAGAATTGATTTGAAGTGACAACTCTGATACCCAAATAAAAAATGAATTACTTTACTTGTCATTCATTTCATTGATTCAAAGTAGTATATCACTTTTATTTTTCATTCAAATAATTCAACTACGATATTTTGATTGATGCATATGGACAAATGTATAGTATCTTATGGGTACCATAAAATCTACTTTTGTGTGATACCTTGCTTACATAATGTTTCTCACTTCTGGCTCTAATTATGTGAGGAAATCCAAAAAAATGTGTAATATTTATACAGTTTAAACAAGTCAAGATAAAGGTGCTTGGTGAAATCTTGATTAGAGGCCGGTCAAACTTGAACTCAAGGTGGTTCGTTAAGCAAATGAGCTTAACATGTTTAGAGCTATTAGATCTTAGATTCGATGCACGAGGCTTCTTCTTACTTTTCATATGAAGGGATTTTTTATTTTATCCGGAATCTATATATTGGGAAAAGATGATGTGAGAAATGTCTCTTCCACTGAAAATTGTGAAATTTTAACTAATATAATCAATAAGATAACTTACAAAAAAACACATTATAACTTATAGCTCAACAATCATAAAGAAAAAAATACAGCTTCATAGCAATAAATATGGAAGTATGGAACAAGTATGAAACTATGATGAAAACAACTAGTATCATTTGATACTTTATGATTTTTATATTAATTCGTAAACTTGATCTTATTAACTTTTAAGAGCCCGTTTGGTAACATTAAAATTGGTTGAATTGGCTAATTCTGCTGAAGTTTATGAAGTTCTGGCTGAAGTGACTGTATTTGTTGATTTTGTTCATTCATGAAAAAATTATATTTAAAATATTATTTATTAATAAATTAAATAAAAAAAATTATACGAAAAATAGCTAAAATGATCCTCTACAGTAACTTCAGCCAAAACAGCTAGAAAAGTAACTCTAACCTTACTTTTTCTACTTATTACAAACTTCAGCGCGCGAAATAAAAAATTACGTGTTTGGTGAAAAAGCTGGCTGATAAGCCGAAAAAAGGGTCACCAATCGGGTTCTAATTCGTTAAATTTATCTTATAAAGCCAAATATATAACTTCTATGAAGAGCATAACTTCATTTGCTAAATTGAGTAAATACTTTTAAAAAATAATTTATTGCATAGATAATAAAGTTTAACTTATTTTAGGCATCAATACAAAATTTAATATGCACCATATATAAGAATTAGCAATAATATCATTCTAAAAAATTTAAAACATAGTATCGTAATATTAGCAAAACTCCTCATGAGTCACGAACACCCTTCTTTGTAAACAAAATTTCAATTCAAAAATCAATTCCTTGTACCGATAACAATTCATGTGATTAAATATAGCAAGAGTTATTTAAAAATCATTGGTGGTTGATACCGGTTCCGGTTCCGGGCCGGGCCCGGGCGGGGTTTTTTCCTAGGTACTTGGGCCCGGAACCGGCCCTGGTTGATACCGGGTCCGGGCCTAACCGGGTCAGGGCCGGTTCAATGTTTAATTTTTTTTTGGCTTTCTTGTTATCCCCCGACCCCCCCCCCCCCTCACCCCCACCTCCCAAACCTCCCCAAAACACCCAGCCCTACCCTAGGAAAAGAAAAAAAATTGAAAAAACAAAAAAAAAGTCCAGGCCCGACCCGAACCGCCCGGGCTGGTTCAACAAAAATGGGGCCCGAGCCCGACCTGCCCGACCCGCCAAAACGGGCTAAAAGCCCGGAACCGGCCAACCGGGCCGAACCGGGCCCGCACAGTAGTGGGCCGGTTCGGCCCGGCCCAGTCCATCCCTAGTGGGTGGGCACCTTTTAAACTCTTTACTTTCAAATAATTTGATAAAATGTTATATATCATCTTTTGTTTCAAATAATTTTTCTTTGATTTGCTATTTCTTACGATTTAGTGTATCAATACTTTTTTCTAAAACACTTACAATTATAAAACCAAAATTATTTTTCCATTGTCTAAACTTATAATGTAATATATTTAAATGCCATCATGTATGTACCTATGAATTCTTTTTGAATAAAACTTAGCCACAAAGCCCTACACTATGAAAAAAAATCGCTCTGCTACACTAGCGATAAAAGTTTCGCTCCACTATACTAGCGAAAAAAATTCACCCACCACACAAAGAATTTTTTTTTACCTCCCTTGACTCGAAATCTTGGATCCATCCCTGTGCACGATGACAAAGTTTTGTCCGTTCATCTAAGTTGTGTAAAACATCTCAGCATGTCAAAAACTGGAATTTCAATTCCGTCAATCTATATATCACTCCATAGTTAATACTCGGTATAATAGGAGTATTTAGTTAGTAATGAGTAATTACATTCTCTTTAGATGTAAATCTTCCCACTTAACCACTTTTATCTTTTTCAAACATTTGCACTGGTAAAATCACACAGTATATATATTATTTTAATTACGAAGAATAATGAAAATTAGTCTTTAATTAAAAAGTAGCCAGGATGACTACTTTGGTCTTTGGGTAGAATCTCACATAACATTTCCTCAATGCGGCCAACACTTGAAATACTAGTGTCCCTACTTGCATACCCAAAAATGACTATAACTAAACAAAAGATAATAATCGGAGCCTGGGGTTTCTTGATCAACGGCTCTCATGCATCACACAGTGTATATAAATACACATATACCTCATAAAAGTGAGTGCGTATATACTGATCAAGATTTTCATCTTCATCTGCAGAAAAAAATGATGCTCCGCTGCAAGGGGAAGGCTGATGATCATGAGTGCAAAAAAGTTACTCTGGTTCTCAATGTAGAAGTGTGTGATTACCATCATTGTTTGGAGAAAACTAGTCAATGTGTTGGAAACCTTCATGGTACATTTAAAGATCATCATCATCATAGTATATAAAATTGAACAGAATTGAAGTTTTTAACTGTCTGTTTTTGTTTGTAAATGTAGGGTTGGAGAAGATTGATTCTTTAAAAATAGAGAGAGATGGCTTCATATATAAGATAACAATTGTGGGTAAAGTTGATCCCTTGAAGATCTTGGAGGAGATGAAGAATAAACTTGGAAGCACAGTGATTCTCGTTTCTGTAGTTGATGAGGAGGACACGGTAAAACTAATTAACCCAGAAATATTTCACCTTTTCTCATATAATCCGTAATTTTCATTATCATTATCGTTCTATTTAGAGGTTTAATATTTTATTTCTACATATTACATATTTAGCCTATAAATACCCAGTTCAGATTGAATCTGGCTTGCGACAGAAGTGTCAAGACAATTCTTAACGTTGTGAGCAAAAGCAGAGGTAAATTAAATCTGTTTTATCATTTCATTTCCCCTGCTAGAGAATGTATATTATAGTTACAGTCAACAATTGGTTTATACCATGTTTAATAAGATTTGAATTTTCAGAAAACATTTAATACCCTGTATTTTTTACTATTGGTTCTGACTTCTGATGTCTGCATTGGACATGATAAAAAAAAGATTTCAACTTTTCTATTCTTGATTCCAATTTCCAAGTATATTATATTCTTGGATTTCTTGCTCGTTTGGCATTCCTAGTAGCTAAGCTGTAAATTTGCCCAAAAAAAAAGAGTAGCTAAGCTGTAAACAAAGATTTCAATTTTTATATCGTTTTGAAGGATTTCAAGGGATAAACATAGAGAGGACGAGAAATTTGGTGACTGTGAAAGGGGAAAATGTGGATACAGAGATGCTGAGGCTGACACTACAGAAGAAACTTAACAGTGCCGTGGAGGTTAATCAGGTTATTGTGCCGCCGCCGAATCAAGAAGCTAAGAAGGTTTCCGCCACCGTGCCTCAGCCTTACTGGCCTCTCTGGGCGGAGCGCGGTGGCCCCAGTCATGATGATCAGGAGGTCTGTGGGATCATGTGATTATGGCTCCAGAGGTCAAAGTTGCAGTTCGTATACTTCGTTTTTAGTAAAGATAAGAACAGCCATTACATACCAAGTATACTACTTTAGGTATGTTTATACGGAGTATGTATTATTACTACGTATAAAAGAAAACACTAGTAGAAGATACGGAGTATAACTAAAGAACATACCCGGCCAGAATCTCTTTGGATAGGCCGGCTTGAAAAGCATATAGTCTATTAATCCTTCACATAATTAACTTAGGGTACGAGCTTAAGAATGATTAACATTTTGTTAACATTGAAATATTGTACTTGTTTTTTGATTCAGAGGGACTTGCCCACTTAGATAGTTGGATCCACACACACATATGATCAAATAAGAGGTTATCTTAATGAGAAAAATACGAATTTCGGTTTTAAAGTGTCTATACCACAAAAGATTGGATCAAGGATGTGACGGCAATTTGATGAATAGAAAACATTTTAATTCTTGAAAAGTATAGCGTTTGAATTTAAAAGTGCTCTATAACGAGGCTTGAGTTAAAACTTCTCATTTCTCATTTAAGGCATCCTTTCTTTGAATTGATAAAAAGCCAAATTTAATCCAAAGACTTATATGAAAAACTCAAACTTATATAAAATTTAATGCAAAGACTGATTCTAAGGCTGATGAGTGGACTAAATTTGCCGGAATTTTGGCCAGAAGGACGAGGGGTGGTGAGGGGATAATGGTCACGGACTAAATGTGGACAATCTGAAAGTATGGGACTAAATGTGGAAGTGGTATAATAGTCATGTGACCAAAAATGGATTTTTTTCTCAATTTCTTCAAGAACGTAAAAGGCAAAAGAGCATTGACATGGTATTGGTCAGCAAGCTAGGGATGAGCCACTGCTTCACGTTTTGGAGCGTAGGAGGGATGAGCAGGTGATGCTGTGTTTATTACAACCAGACCCACCTGAACAAAAACAAGGCAGCTGCTAGAACAAGCTCAATCCAAGCTAGAAGATCTACAACTTCTTTTTGTACTCTTTAGGTGAACAAAAACAAGCCAGCATCCAGATGACACAACTCATGTATGCTCACGAATTCTGAAGTTCACATTTACCAATAGCGAATCTTGTTTTGTTCTGCTTTCCCGCTAAAAATATTTCTCACATTTCCTTTGTGCTCACACTCAACTTGCAAGTCAATATATTTCTCTAGTGATGGGAAATGAAGAAACGTATTGTTCAAAAGTTCAGAACTTTTTAGCATCCATATTTGCTCAAACATCGATCAGTCGTTTATCAGGGCACAAGAAGACAGTTCACAATTGAAAGTAATTTCATGAAACAAATGAATTCTGAAGTCGATACATCATATACTTTGAAGTATACAAAAAACCATTCATGGAGTATAACATCGCAACAATTCTTTTAATCCTCTCGATGTCAATTGCACTTTTAGTACTCATCTTTGAAAATTTCTACATTCAATATTCAGATTGTCGTGACAAAACACTTTTTAATATCCAAATTTGAACTTTTCCACTTTCAGTTATTCGACAATTTAACAATGACACTTTTGGTACATGTCTTTAAATTTTGCCATAATAGTTGGAGGACAAAAATGTCATTGTCACAATGATGAAGGACCAAAAGTATCATTGCCACGTCAGTCAGAGAACTGAGAGTGTAAAAACTTGAAAATATACTCCAAAAGTATCTCAACCACAACAGTCAAAATGACATAAGTTTAAGAAATAAGAAACACTGCCCAAAAGTGTCATTGCCACCATAGTGAGTGAGTGGTTAAGGGTGGAAAAAAGTCCAGCAAAGCACAAGCAGTGAAGCCTATGAGAGCCTGCATGTGCAAAACGAACCTTTTCTTACCTCTCTTAATTGGAATTTGGAAAAGGCGAAATGTCCTTTTTCTTTCCACAAGGCATCACTCATCTGGTGCCCCTCGGTCTGTTTTTTTGTGCTTCCCTTTCTTGGATTTCACTCGGCGTTTCTTTTCAATGGAATCAACCCAGACATAATCTGGCGGAATGTGGAAAGGGTCAATATCCTCACAACTTTCACTGTCAATAGATTGTGGGCCGTTACTCCCTCTCACCCATGAAGAAATCCATGAGGAGTTTAAAGTCTCTGATTCTTTAGATTTGGCATCTTGGAAATGGGTGGGGCTGGAGAGGGGAGTCGAAAACTCTTCCAATGGAGGAAGTTCCTCGAATTTTGTAAATGTGACCACAACACGAATAGTTGGAACTAGAGGGATGGCAAGCTGCAATGCAATAATCATCATTTCATCATTACTTGATAAGATTGGCAATCACCTATAAGGCTGCAAGGACCTATTTGTTTCCAAACACATACTTTAATGGACATTATTTTCTTATTTTGCTGGATTCTTTGAACTTTGAAAATTTGTTTGAAAAGGAGAAAATGGTGCCAAGTATGAAATAGATTTTCACATTCAAAGTAGATATCTTAGGGAAAGTTTCGATCTTGGAATCTGTTAGGTAAAGAGAACACGGAGGAAACTTGAAAGGGAATATTATTTCGACATTAGTTCAAACTTCACTCTTAGTTTTTTTTTTTTTTTTGCTCCGGGGGTCTAGGGGAGGGGGGCTGGGGGGCCTTGAGTAATCAGGGCTGAAACTCAATCCATTGAGTTTCAAACCCTTGTGTGCCTAGCGGGTTTCGAACTCGAGACCTCCCACTAGGCACGGTAACCTCACAACCAGCTGGGCTGGAATGCTTGTTTAACTTCATACTCTTAGTTATTTCTATTAAATAAACACAAAGAAATCTAAATGTGTCAACATATATAAAAACAATTAATCACATTTCATTTTCCTTTACATTTTCAAAGTAAAGCTAAACACTCCAAATAGCTCCCCTTCACAATTGTTTTCCTTTCTTTAGAACTCTTGGGACCCATATCTAGCCTTATTGACTAGGTTTTTACCAGCTTAAGCAGGTGCCCAGCATTTCACAACATTTAGCAGGAAGAAAGAAAAAACAATTATATGTTTGATATTAACTTACCAGATAACATATATATTTTACTTGTTGAAGAAGCAATAAAAGAACGATATATAAAAACTTGTGCTGAATGATAGAAATAAACAAATATACCTTTACAGGAAACATACCATTGGGAAGCTTTGTGGTCAAAAGCTCCCTTATTCTCCTAACAGCTTTTACCTTGTTGGCTAATATATCAAGTAACGGCAGTAACTCTTCAGTTTTCAATGGAAAATCCGGTGTCAAACATAGAACAGGTCTTAATCCCTTCTTATACTCGCTCTCATTCTTTGACTCACTTGTTGTCCCTTGCTTCTTCTTTTTCCCGTTTTTATCCTTCCCTTTTTTAACTTCCCCACTACCCTCCTTAGAAACACCAGATGGTAACAAATTATGGTTTTCCCCGTTCTTTGAATTTTTTTTAGTCGAACCAAACCAACTTTTCTTTTCTTTAGCAATACCATTGGATTCCTCACTATCAGCAAGCTGGTCAAAATGGCTACCCTTAAGTGCAGAATCCAACTGCATCCTTTCCTCAGCCGTGAGGTCATTTTCACAATAATGAACGTCTCCTGCTTGCTCTTGAGAAAAGAGCTCCTCGTCTGTCATTGCACCCGGGACCCTCCTTGACTTCACACTAATCATCACGTTAAGCATATCATAAACCTTTGCTTTCCATTCACCGACCATTTCGGTCCTCTCTTGACGCCTCCAATTCAAAAGAGGCACCAATTCAGCTTGGGTCACGTCTATACCTGGCCTGTACATATTAGTTTGGGACATCAAAGACACTTCATGGGCAACTTCATCTTCTGTGGGCTGGATTCCAGCACCTTCAAAAGCATTCTTTATTACTTTCCCCTTATGGGAGAGAACTACCAACGATCCCGCAGGCAAAGATATATCTTTTGATGAATACCCATCACCAAGGAAAAGAAAGGTTTGATCCGACCGTTGGATCCGAAACCCGTCAAATCCAGCTAAGGTCATATCAGCACGGAGATTGGATCCCCGTTTCCAAATACGGTAGGTGTCGGATGGGGCAACTCTACCAATGAAGGGTATCACAGAGCTCTCAAAATGGAAGGTGATCTCCATGTAAAAATCACGGATCCGTGAAGTGGTCGCCAAAATCATAGGGAGCCTTCTACACCACTTGGCCCAGGCGAGGGGTTGATAATATCTCGCGATGATGATGGCTATTTTCTCCTCCTTTAAACACACAGCCTCCTGTAGGGCACTCCACCCTTGACCGTTTTGGAGACTCCAGTTGGCCCCGGCAGACATTAGAATCTCAACTGAGTTTGGGTCTCTTAATTTGACGGCTAGGTGGAGCGGGGTTACCCGGCCTGGGACGTCTCTACTGTCAATCACTAAAGAAAGGGCATCAGCATCTTTTTCAGCAGCCAGAGAATCTTCCTCCGTTTTCACCTCCCCAGCCTTGGCCAGACGGGGCAATGAAGCAATAATCCTCTTTAAAGCAGCGTAGTCTCTTCTAGCCACAGCCAAATGTGCTGGGCTATGTGAGTAACTAGACCAATCTTCCTCCATTCTTTCTTAAACAATTACCATTGGATTCAGAAGAATACTTACAGCAAGGTTGCAGGGTATGTCTAAATTTCTTATACCAATTCAACAGTTCAGAAAAACAACTAGGTCAATTCTTTTCTCCCTACATCCATGAAGCGGCTATTCAGGAATCATATGTAAAGACAGGATTAGAGAAGAAAAATGGCGATAAGTACCTGAGAAATATGATACCGGAAAATGAATTTCTTTGGGGAGAAAGAAAATGATCAGGTCTTCGCTTGTTCTTCTCCGAGCAAAAGAAAAACAAAAACTAGTTTCTTCTTAGCTCTGTTTCTACTTCACTTTCAACTCCAAATCTACGCTATGAGCTAAGAAAATCCCTACAGCAACCAGTGTCACATGTGATGTTTCTGCATATAAAGATTCAACTGGTCGTTCGTCCCCTCGATTTTCAACCAACCTTTGCCTGTCCAAGCGTTTCTGAATATGGTAATAAACAGCAAAATGATAGATGATGGCCCATGGAAAAGAGGAAAACCTCTTTGTGTTTTGTTTTTCCTTTATTCCTTTTGTTGGGGACTTTATTTCCTTTTGGTAATACCCAATTGTCAACTGCGTAGATTGTGGAGTTTGCTTTCAAGAAATATTAAACGTTTGAAAGTTTGGGCATCCTTAAAGATTTAAAACAATTTCTCTAACCTCAACTCAACCCGTCAATAAATATAAT